CTGAAACATTCCTTTTTACTCCTGGGCATGTGATCTTCGTGTGGATATGCGAAGCGAAGGGAGCCGGCTGTGCCTTTGCCTACGTTACCCCTCAGCTGAAGAGGGCAGAGGTGAAAGGGCTCCCGGGGCTCCCGTGGCCATTGTGGAGAGTGCGCTTGTGTCGTCCTCCAGTGCCCCCTTGCCCATGTAGAACTTTCCCTCCAAGTCATTTGTATGTCCTTGCGCGCCATTTGTGTAGCTGGCCTCAGGTTGCCAATACAGCGCCTGCCTCCGGCCTTCTTTCAAGGCGGGCTTTGTGGCTTTATTTTGTCCGACTAGAAACGGGTGGTTTGGACCCTCGGATCCTGTGGTGCTGATGGATCCAATCAAACCCAGTGTTTGTGTGGGAGACCATTGTGAGCCCTGCCTATAACACTTCGCAGTCCAGCACTTTAGAGGAAAAATGGAAAGGGGCAGGAGAAGAGTACAACCTTTGCACATCACCCTGTGGCTGGTTGCTCACCCCGTCACTGCATCGCTGCTTTAGGCTGCGCCTGCCTCCATTCCTGTGCTGCACTCTCACGGGGCCACGGCAGGTATCTGTCCATGTCATACCGGACGTTGAAGCAACAGCCGTCTCCTCCATCAGTCAGTCCTGTTGAACACTGAGCTTTTTGTCAGCCCGTCTCTGCCTCCCGTCAGGGGTGACTAATGCTTTTTCACCTGCCAGGTGAATTCCACTCTGGAATAGTTCTTAAGGGCTAAATAAATCCACACACACGCAGTTGCTCCACTGTCATGAATTTATAGTGGTGGCATGTCTGCTCAGCTTCCGTGTAGTCTGAAGTGTCTGATCCTGCCTAATCCGGGAAGCGAAGCAGGACTGGGCCTGGCTGACATCTGGACGGTTGCCTTAAATGCTGTGAACCTCCAGAGAGCCCTCTGTGGTGGGCGGGATGCGAATGTCAGGCAAGGATAACAAGGATACTCAGAGGTGAGCAAGACAAGCCCCAGGAGCGGCTTGTTCAGGAGGAGGCCTGAGCAGCGTGCCTACTCAGGAGTGAACGGTGGGCAAGGCCAGGGGAAGAAGCTGCTGGGCTGAGTGGGGAATCCCATGGGCCAGAGGTTCTGCATCCTTGTGTGGGACCTTTTCTCTCTTCAGTGTCAGAGGTCATTGTGAAGCTGTAAACAGGGCATAATCACACTGCCACTGAGTAACTCTGCCGTGCTTTCTGGTTTCAGAGGTGCTAGTTCCAGGCATGTTTTTATTTATTTATTTATAACATTTCTATGCCGCACCCATCGCTGAAGCCTCGGGGCGGCATGTATGACCCTCAGCCCCCTTCCCTCGGAATTAACCGGAGACAGCCAGCTTCATTGTGTTCCCTTCTGAGTCTGTTCCTTGGAAGACACGATGCTCAACAAAGAACAGGCTGGGACCAGGGGGTGGGGTTCTGTTATTTCTTCTCTGCCCCACAGCAGCCTTTTTCAAAGTGGCAGCTTCAAGAATGCTGGGGAGGAAAGCTGCAAAGGATTACGGTGCCGTTCTGCCCTGCTCCTCCTCCTCCTCCTCTTGTGTGGATGAGGCCATAAAGCAGAACAGTAACCAAGTCCTCTAAATTTGTTCCCAGCTGTTTCTGTTTACTTCTATGCTGTTTGTTATGTTTTCTTTCCATGCACAATGGATATAATCTGTGGGAATCCTCTGTCCGACTCTGTTGTCTGAGCTGTGACGTCTTTCTAATAATGCAGGAATTGGCTTCTAGATGTGGGCTTGGCCCTGGGTAGTGAGGTCCAGAGGCAAATTCAGGCTTCCCTGCCCTGGTGAGCTCCCATCAGCCCCAGCCAGTGTGGGTAGGAATGGAGGTCCAGAACAGTGGGTGGTGGGCATCCAGTTGGGGAGGGCTGCTCTAGAAGCAACTTCTGCATGAGCAGGAAGGGTTGGTGATCTGCTGTTGCTCTTCACCCTGAGGATCAATTTATGTGGCTGTTTGAGTAGTGGTGGTTTGGGCGGCTTCCCTCACGCACATTTTGGCTTCGGTCTGCATCGCCTCATGTTGGAGAGACGGGATGGGCTCAGAGCAGAATCAGTTGGCCCGTGAGACGCCCAGGCGAGCTTTCAGGCAGCCGTGAGACCCACATAAGCAGCCATGTGTGAGTAGGAGTGGTGCTCAAGGACGTTTATGCAGTGGAGTCACAGGTAGGCCCAGTCATGGGTCTGTGGCTGTTCAAGCGAGCGTTCCTGTGTCAGCTCAGCTTCCGCTGCCCTTTCGCTTCTGCCACAAATAATAGGAAGTATGGTGGAGGTTGGCACTGACCTAGCATTTCTTCTCCAGAGAGGAACACGTTCCAGTGTATACTGCATCTCAGCCTGGCTGGGAATCATGGGAACGGTAGTCTAACACATCTGGGGGACTTCAGGTTGGGGAAGGCTGATCTGTGAGAACAGATTGTGCAGAATAGATCTGTTGCGGTGAGGTTTGCTGTCTTACCCAGGAGAGAGACAATCTTCTTGTACTGGCCTGCCAGCGGGCATAAGGAATCCTCCTATCCACCGGGTCAGACACCTGGTGAAATGGTCCTCGCATTGCTTTCTGCTCAGTAACGATCCTCGCAAAATCTGTGTGGATTTGGCATTCATTATTCCATGTATACCCGGGTACCACCACAGGTGCTGCTTTGTTGGGAAAGGCTGTTACCAATCTCCTGTGAGATGTTGGGAGTCCACCTGCAGCCAGTTTCTGGATGAATAATTGTGGATGTCTATTTTGTTCAAATCAGAAGTCTTGTATTATTTTCACGGGATAGCTATAAACTGTGAGTTACTGATATTGAACAGGACTGACAACAGAATACATTTCTGAAAATGAAGTCCTTAGCCACTCGTCCCTGGCAGGCATCCACTCTGTGTCTAGCTTTGCACGCAGCCACGGGTTCAGTTCCTGACTTGTGTTTGGACACGCGGTTTGGTAGCAGGAGTAATCATAACGGAATCTCCGCTTTGGAAAGCATGCTGCAGTGCATATGCTGGATGGGAGAGGTGTTCCATCCAGTATTGTGGTGCCAGGCTGTTAAAACCAGCACCCCGTTCTGGGGTCGGAAGCACCTAGGCAGGCGGGACTCAGGCTGGGTCGGCCCAGTATGCTGTCCCAGGTCACAGTGAATGTTATGATAGCCCCAAAGCAGGGGCAGCTGATTCTCCACATTCTGGACAAACACTAGTGAGTGCCGATGAGAATACTTAACTGACTGGCATCCTTCACCAGTGTGTGTGAGGGAGTTCTCAGAGGGATAAAGAACTGGTGTGGGACTGCCAGTGTTCTCCAGAACTGTCGCAGGCAGTGCGATCTATGCAGTTGACCACAAATCGGTCTAACTCTTTACCCTGGTAGCACGCAGAGTTCCCTCCCAGCCCTACAGCTGGGGCACAAACCCAGACTCTTCTGTATGCAGGACGCCCGTTCTCACCAGTGCGCCATGCGCTTTCCCACTTCCTTTCCTCTGTGGGTAAGCTGATGTGACAGTGCACTGAGGCTGCAGGCAAGCCCTCACTTAACGGGGGAGCCAGGCCTAGTGGGCTCAGTCGGACTTCTGATTAGATGCACGCAGGGTGTGAACGTTCCAGCGTGCCTGTGGGTGTATCGGAAGTGGGAAACGGGCATTCTCTTGTATGCAGCAGCCACAACTTGCGCATGTCAGACGGCAGGTGGAAAGGTTTTTAATATTTGGGGCACCTTAGGAGGAGCCGCTAGAGGTTTGGGCTGTCTACAGGAACATCTCCTGTGCACTGTGACTGAAAGCGCTGGGAGGTATGTGCTGGCCGGGTGGGGTGGCCTTATGCATCTTGTTGGGGTGCCATTTTCGTCGTCCCTCAGCAAGGGCTATGCTGGCCGGCTCTGATGGAGTTGTGCGCCCAAGTCTAGAGGCGCACGTGTTGCCCTGCTCCGCAGGACTGAGCCTTAACCCTCCCGATGTTGTTGGATTGCAACTCCCATCAGCCCCAGCCAGCATAACTGATGGAGAGGGGGAATGAGAGAAGGGGCAGTTCAAGATCATTTGGAGGGTGACTGGTTTCCCATCCCTGCTTTAAATAATTTGATTTTTTTTTTAAAAGCAGAGGATCCAGCTACAGTTGAATTCAAAGCAAAGGTTCATGCTAAAGAGCAGCTCACAGGATGGCTGAGCCTTTAATCTACTGTAAGTCGCCCACTAAAGTGCCTGTCCAAAATGCCTCTCATGATTGCTGTGATCATCCACTTGCTAAATAAAGAAGATAATGCCATTTCCTAAAATATTAGTAAAAAAAAGGGATTAGGCAGATTCCACTGACTTCCTGGTTCCAAGGGCAAATATACACAGTTGCTCACTTGCGCTGGCCATGCTGAGACATGGCATGCTAGCCAGAGGGCAGCCATTACTGGCTTAGAGCAGGGCTTTTTGGAACTTGGCCTTCTGGCGGCCAGAGCAGGGCAGTGAAGTGCCACACAGTTTCTGCGTTTGGCCTGTGCTGTCTCTGGTTCAGTGGCCAACCTGCCCAGTGCCCAGGGTCCCCAAATGGCCTGGCAGAACCCTGGCAGACTTCTCAGGGTGCCACTGTGCCATATATCTGGACCCGGGGGGACCCCCCCTCCCCTCATGCTGCTGTGTCCCGTCCCCTTGCCCCTCCCTTCCTTCCTCATCCCATTCCTGAGCAGCAGAGATGAAACGGGGCTTGCATTCTGCGCTGGTAGGTGTGCCTCTTGCTAGGAGTTGCAGCACCCATCTGTAAAGTGCTCTTTGCGAGGTTGCATTCGCTTCTTTGCTTAGACTCTAGAGCAAAATGCCAGCACAGCCCTATAAGAACATTAAAAAGTGAGAAGAGCCTTGCTGGATTAAATCAAAAGTCCACCTGGTTCAGCATCCTGTGTACGCGCTGGCCAGCCCACAGCAAACACACAAGCCGGACCCGAAAGCGGCAGTGCCTGCTGCTCATGTTCCCCAGCAACCGGTGGCGTCACCTAGGTGCTGCCCTAAGCCGTCTGCTTTAGGCTGCCTTGTCATGAAGCGTGGATTTGGGTCTCTGGGCAGGAGGGTGACGTCTGCAGCAGCGTGGGGCAGCGGATGAGCATTGCTCTGGGCCGCCAGCATGGTGCAGTAAAAGGGGTCTCCGTGCTTTTCCCAAGCGCCTTTCAAAATACCTGCACTAGCTGTTGCAATTACTAGTAACCAGAGCCGCCCTTGTCTGAGGAGGGGAACCCTGAATGCCTGAGTGTCACACAGGATAAGGCTTGTCGAAGTTGGAGTCCCTTTGGTACAGATGGCTTCTGCAAAAAATAAGCAACTCTGCAGTAATTCCCGCTTGTACTTTACCAGCTCTTTCAAATAGGATCTGTGCAGGCATGTGAGGGCAGAGCAGCAGAGTTTTCTGGGGAGACTCAGCAGTTGTCCTGACTTTCAGTTCATTCAGAGTCAGCCTGGGGCAAGCTAGTGAGCAAGCCAGTTAAGAGTGAGATGTAGCTCTGTTTTATTGCGATACTGCCCAATAGCTGAAGTTCTCTGGGTGGTTTGTAAAAGCTTCCACTCCCCCCTCCTTGTCTTCTCTAGGGCAGGGTGTTCTTCCAAATGAAGCCCTTCTTCCCTCGCTCTCCCAGTGGCCTCCAGATTGCAGTAGAAGTGCAGCATCCCTCGGCCTTGTTGGAGGGCACCAAGCTGGGGAAGGCCGGCCTTGCTCTTTTCTTTCCCGGAGGCCTGGGCTGGTGTGGGGGTTGCACTCTGTCCAGGGCATGGCGTACAAGGCTGCACTGTTCAAGCGTGCCTCAGCCAGGGCTCGCCTGGCACCGGGAGCAGGCACAAGCCGGCTCGCCAGCAAGTACTGAAGGACACTGTCTCCCCAGGAGTGCTCGGCGTGCTCTCACAGCTGACGCCTTGTTTTCCCTCGTGTGCACATGCCCCACACTTGCAGCATTAACCTGACAAGCGCGAGTCGTCCTGTGGCTCTTCAGGCGAGCCTGCTTTCTTGAGCCTGACCACCGCCCCGATGCCTGGCCGGCACCTCCGTCCTCTCGGCACCAAGGAGCCACGTGAGCTTCGCAAAGGCTCACCTCCAGCACGGAACCCACATGTGGCTTGATGGCGGAACAAAGCCTCTGCCAGCTGTTTGGAAATGTGGGTTCAGACTTCGGGATGAATCATTCTGCAAAACACACATGCTCTTGAGGCTGTGGTGAGTCGGATCCTGGCTGTGGCCAACTCCCAGCGCATCTTCCTCCCCTTTAAAGCCCGAGGAGGAGTGCAAACAGCTCCAGATGTTGCTGCTGGTCCAGGCTGTTCTTCCTCTGTGTTCTGCCAGGACAGGCAGCTAGAACAGTGTCGAGGAGGGTGGGTGGGAGTAGGCGATTCTTTTCATCATTTCCCCCCACCTCCCCGTTGATCCACAACTCCACTGCCTTTCCTTCTCCACCTCCCTTGCAAATGGCTTGTATCACTCTGAGGATGAGGTAGCAGGAAAAATGACTGCTTTTTCTGTAAGAGGGTTTTTTGGCAGGCAGGGAGGTGGGCGTGGAATCACTTACGTCGCAGGTTTGGCCATTCTCTTTTCCCCAAGTTTTCAAACTTGTTTCACCATCTAAGAGTATTGTAGCATTTTGGCCAACAACAAGATGCAGTTTGGGGGAAAAGGACGTTTGCTTAAGGATGGCAAGAATGTCTGGTGATGAATGTGAGGAGTGTTTCTTCTGTCTCTCTCAACAAAGATTGAAATTCTTGTGCGCCTGAACAGGCGTTGTATTTTCAGATGGAAAGGGACGCCTTTGCGTGGAGTCCCCGTTGTTCCAGCTGTGGGCGAGTTCCAGCCCATCAAGTGCCAAGCGGCTATTTCAACAAAGAGAAGTCAGCCTATAGCAAGATGTAGTGGACTCCACCTCAGTGGCAGAACTCTGTCTAGCCATTGGAACAGGAACTTGTGATAGCCTAGATGTGGGACTGAAACGAGTTGGTGGCGCTTGCAAACAACTCTTGGCGTGTGCATTTGATGCTTTGTTGGATCGCCTCTGACTTCAGCAGTTCAGATATGTGGGGTGCTTCAGCTGGTAGCTGGCAGCTGTGTGTGTGTCTTCCGAGGGAAAGGGTCTGCCTCGTCCTCCCTGCTTATTGTACTCTGTGTTCAGCGCTACCGTACGGGGCTGTGCAGATTCATGTCCTGCGTTGAGTGACTCATTTCCTACTGAACTGTTTGCTGGGATGCCCTCTGTTTGGACTTTTCCTTTGTCAGTAATATACTTCAGCACAGTATTTGCAGAATGAACTTTTTTTCGCACTCCTCTGGAGAGGAGAAATCCAGATCTCTCTGTAAGCACACACAAGGTCAGGGACTGTTAAACAGAAGTGACTATCCGTGTAAACAAGGCTTGGAACAGAACATACGGTATGTGCATGCAGTAATATGAGATACGTACATTTCCAGCAACAGATCAAACAGGGTCCAGAAGATGTGTTTAAAATTAAAATCAGCATGCAGCAGTGTAGACCAATCCTGAGGACAGAGATGTCTGCTTCTTTCTGATGAAAGACTCTGATCCTTGAGTAATCTGCATTTGCAGAGTCCACGGAGCACTGCTGTGGGTAAGCAAGGGTTTTTAATTTCCCACAGAATCCAGTTTTTAGTTTCTGGCCTTGAAATTAGCCAGCTCCTCTGACATCACGACCACTGAACCTGTGGCCTGATGCAAGAAGCCAGGGACTGGTTTGCGTGCAGGAGTAAGCCAGGCCCTGTCTGACAAGGGGATGGGTGAGGTAATGGCATGAAGGCATTTGGTGAGATCGGAGGCCTCAGGAAGCTGCAGGAGTGAACAGCTACTTCTTTTTAAGCGATTATGCTTTGTTTTTCTTTGCAATTCCTGTCTTGTCTTGCACACAGAACACTCGGGGCAGCGCTGCTGGAGGGGCTGGCAACCTTTGCAGTTGCACTGCTGGCTACCAGTCGCCAAGATGACCCTTCGCGCCTGGGCCATTTTGTGTAGCAATCAAATTTATATCTCACCTGCCTACCTGTAGTGGCCCTGAAGACACAGATAAAAACACATCCTGAGTGAAAATCCAAAAACGGCTAAAAACACAACAATGCAAAGAAGCAGAGAGAAAGTAGCCTGGTAAAACCCCCTCCAGCAATAAACCAGCTTGCATGCTAAAGTCTCTGCCATTGCGGGGGGGGGGGGGCAGGAAGAGGAAGCCAGCCTCTCCTCCCTGCTGCCCCCCTTCAGCCCTGGGAGTTTTCTGACAAGTGTGTTTTTATGGATCTTGCCAGCCATGGTCCAAATACTGGACTTCACATTAGGTACAGAATTTGTTGTCCCAAAGGAGTCTGCCAAAAAGCTTGGGTGAGCCAAATTCCTAACTTTTCTGTCTGTGAAGCTGGTTCCTGAAAGTACCAGGGCGGCGCTGGATGACAGCAGAAGGGCTGAGCATGGTGGGGGGGACTTCTGGTGGCTGCCCGTTGGGACCGGCATAGCTCTGTGCTCCTCTCTGCAGCATGAATAGCCGAATCGGTTGCGCTGAGCAAAGAAAGAAGTGCTGGTTTGAATAAACTAAGGGCCGCAGAACTTTGGTTCTTTTCCCTGAGCGTGTGTGGTGCATGCACAACCTTGCCGTGTCGTCCACAGCGATGTTTTGCCTTGGATGGTTGACACTCATGCTGAGCGAGGCAGCTCGTCCTAGCACTGTGCTTTGTCAGCAAGCAGAAGCCAGCTCCTTTGTTGGCGTCGATTTTCTGGGAGTGCCTCCCGCAGCCCGCCCGCCCGCTAGCTGATCTGAATTCTTATTTCGCTCGTTAGATGCCGCAGCTCAGTGTGAGCCCACTGTGAAATTTCAGCAAGATTGACTGGCAGTGAGAAAGACCCATCTGCATTTCATGGGCTCGTCTGGAATCCAGAATTATGTGGGGGTATTGATTGAAGGTGCATGTTAAATGCATGGGAGTTTCAGCCTGCTAGAACTGCCCTTTTAAATATGCTGGCTTGAAAGATGAAGTGCCTAACTTGTTCACTCTGAGGGGGTGTGCGGAAGAGAGAAGGCAAAGCTGGAGGAAGAGCGGTGTGGCCTGAGTCTGTCGTGGTTGTGGATGCAGACCCTTCTGGGCTAATCAATACCCCGGTGGCAGCTCCTTTCGAGTGCCCCTGGACGGCTGTCCTGGCCTTTGCAAGAGGAAGAGCAACGCCAGGTGCTAGGCTGCTGGGGGGTAGTTTGCAATGCTTTCAGCAGCACCTGGTGTTGTCAGAGCGGAGCCCTCTCTATCTGGTGCTGTGGCGCTTGGACTTGCGTTTACCTGTGTTGCAGATAGGCAGATCCCCCTCTGGTACCTATTGTCATGGTAGCGGTATGCCACTGTTAGGTGACACGGGCCCATGTCCCCGCTGGGCCTGGTTTACGGGCTTGCTTTCTCTGTGGGTTCCCCCGGGGAGGGCTTGTAGGGGTTACAGACTTGCCTTGGGGCCCAGGAGCAGGCAGGCAGGCAGGCAGGCGTTGCCAGCAGAGACAAAGTTGGGCATGCTTGCTGTGTGATGAGAGTAAAAAGAGGAGGGCTGGTTCATCACTGTCTCGTCTCTCTGTAGGAAGACGGAGACTTGGCCTCATTTGGTTCAGGGTCACTTCATACATGCCCTGAGAGGACCCATGACTAAGGATGTAGACACTGTGTTCAACCTCTTCCCTCCGTGTTGCATGAAATGTCAGGCATCTTTTTTCTATCTGCTGCCTTGGAATATTTCCACCAAATACTGCTCTACTTGTGCTAACATGCATGTGCAGAAGTGTGCAGTTGTACACAAGCACTGCTGTGAATTAGCACAGCCTTCCCCAAAAGTGAAACGCCCACCTGTGAAATCTGCGTGACCCAGAAAAGGCAGCTCTGCTGTGGGATCTGCAGGTCAGGTTAATAGGGATCCAAAATTTATTTGAGTGTGTGTGATTTCTCCAGCATCCCTTCCCTTGGCATAGCCTAGATGTGCCTGCACCAGTAGAGGACTCCCCTAAATTCTTTTGAAAATGCAAGGAGACTTGTGACCCTTGAGAAACTAAGAGAGATGGGATGGAGTAAGTTCCGTGAACTTGGGCCCACTTCACCAAACTTGTGAAGCATTCGCTGTTGGCAGGATGCGACACCATACACAGGGGTCCAGTCTTCACTCAGTGGGTTCATTTCAGGCATTTTCAAGAAACTCAGAAAGAGCAGAATATAATGAACGCAGGATCCATCCGCACAGTGACCTGTAATTGGTGAGGAACTATCCTTCCTTCTTGTTACGCTTTGATAATGCAGTGCCCCTGGTGTGAAAGAACTCCAGCTCTGATAAAGCCCAAATTGAATGGCGCTGATTTGATCTGATAACAGATCAACAAAAAAGGGAGTGTTATCTCCATTGCAAATGAGTCACTCTGCTTTTATCTTGCATACATTAGCGTTTTGCAGACCTCCTGCTTCTTTTGACATTTCACAGCCCTTTCCCCCCTCTGCTTCCTGAGCATGTGCACCAACTGGGGACAGCACGTAAGCATCTGGCAGGCGGCGTCTGCTCCACAGAATTATGCGACAGTAAATCTGTTGATCGTTAAGGTGCCCAAAGTCTGCAGAAAGATCAGAAAAGAGTCTTAACATAGCTGCCCTCTGGAATTGGCTGTGTGTTCTCTGGGGTCTTCCAGGCAAGGGATAGCCAGCTGGTAGCTTGTAGGCAGCATCCTGATCTGGAAAAGCAGCTTTATCCAGTGGCTCTCTCAAGTCTTTGTAAAGGTGTGATAAAAAAAAGTTTGCCCACAGTTTCACTACTTAGAAGAGAATTGCAGAGTGATAACTTCAGATTGCAAGAGACAAGATAACTGAAAGTTGCACCTCTTACGATTTTGTCTGCCGCATCCTGGCTGAACCTGAGCATGTCTGCTCTTGCTACTATTTAGGGACCACTTAACCATAGAGCCTATTTGTGAAATGGCCATTTTGCAGGGCAGAATCCATGCCATACTCGCCTCCAGTATAAAGGGCATCGCCCTGAAATTGTAACGGTGCCTTTTCCCTGTTGAGGACACAGCATTGTACTCTCCCCTTTGCTGAATGCTCGCACGCCATTCCTTTCTGCCATGCCTTCGACAGGACAGCTTTGGTTTTCCTGCCTTGCAAAATGTGCTGTGAAGGGTGTCACTTTCTCGCAATCCCGCTGGAGCAATGCTTCCCTGTTCTTTAGCACTTATCTTTGTCCTCTTGGGAAGAGTGTCGTGCTGTAACATTCCACCTAGAAGCAGCTCCCCCTTCCTGTTCTTGCTGTAGCCTTCCCGGCCCTCTGGAGGGGAACCGGCTGGGGTGGCTGCAGCTTCCTGGAGTAGCTGCTCTTGGCTGAGGCTGCTGTCCAGAGAAACAGCCCTTGGTTTTCTCCTCCTGCCAGGGTGTCTGATTTTGCTCCTCGATGCCAGGAATGTTGACGTTTTGAAATGGATTGGATGCAGTCTTGGAAAAGAACTGTTGGCACCGTAGAGAGGAAATGCTGAGAAACCCAGACAGCTAGGCGTGAGCCTCGGTAGTCATGTTGCTGAGGAAGGAGTCTGGAAGGGTCTGTTACGTGTAGGGATGTGCCGTTGGACGAATGATGAAGGGAAAGAACTAGCTGGGAAGCAGGCTTGGAAACTGGTCGCGGGGGAATAATAATGGCCTCTTGGATTGGAGTGCCTAGGCAGGGCAAGGTCCCTAGAAATTGGAGGCTGGCACCAAGGCGAAGAAGCGTTTTACACCAGCTGCTGTGTGGCTCATGGCTCAGTATCTGACACTGACTTCTGGGAAACAGGCTGCTGCCTACGGACTGGAGAGACTCCCCCCAGTCATCTCATGCCACCTTCCTGCTTTCCACATCCAATATCTGGAAACATTCCAGGCATCCAGTTTGCATGGTGCTAAATGGCCCTTAGATTCTGGCATCTGTGAGGTTCCCATAATAGAAAATGCAAATATGTATATTCAGGATCGACTTCCCTTCTGACAGTGAGCACCAGCGTTCATTTATTGAGCTGAATATTCGTGTGCTTCCTTCAGGCCTCTGTGTTAAGGTTTGGTGACTGGCATTTCCCTTTGAATTGAGCCCGTGTGGCATAGCCAAAAGGAGGCTGGCTGAACCCCAGTCAGCTGTGCAGCGTAGCCGGTGACAGCGGGCCTGTCTGTTCTCTCTGCCTGAGCTGCCAGTGCAGGACTGCGAGAATCAAGCCCCCCCCCCCCGCCCCGCCACCGTGCAGGACTCCTTGAGATGCATGGAGGAAGGGCAAGTGCCGAGCATCATGGCCGTTGCTGTTGGTTTCATGTCTGTAACACCCAGTAGCTGAAGCTCTGGAGTACCGGCGACAGCAAGTGGATTTAAAAGGTACACGGGGACTCTAAACATTCTTGAATCTTTCGGCTGACGCAAGTGTGGACGGATTGCTCCTGCTGCAGCCTCCTGAACTCTCTTTACCAGGGCACTGCTGCGAAGAAGGTTGATGATAACAGTATATTGTTCATAGCCGGCTTGCATGTATTTCTTCCCCCCACCTGTATTCTGTCTCTTAATTCTCTTGGCAAGGGGCTGCAGCTGCGTTTGCTTCTAGACAAGCCCAGGTGGAACTGGTGTAAAGAGGCAGAGGGCCCCTTCTGAGCTCCCTAAACACGCACGCATTGCACTGAGCTCCTGAGTGCCAGCATGCTGCGTCCAGCCGTACTGCCCTGCCCTGTGGGCAGCGCCTTTTCCCGGGTTTATGCATCAAGCACTCAGGAAATCCTGAAGCAAAGCCGAAGTGGGTGCATCTCTCAGGCTAGAGTGTCAGACAGCGTTGTGGAAGACGCATTCTCAGTGGCATCCTGACTTTGTTTCGAAATGGGTAATGGAGGACAATAAGCAGTTAAAGCACAGTTACTGCATTTGGATCCTCTCCTGAATTACAGCAGTTTCAACATTTATTGACGTTTTCCTGCAATCTGATACTGAGTTTACCGGACAGAAGCCTCTTTCTCCCCTCCTTCCACCCATTCGCCTGCACTAGGGTTACTGAAAAATGTAGCGCTTCAAAATTATTTTCAAATGATGCATGGTCTGGAGAGGGAGATTCTCCCCATAATGCTAGAGCCTCATGTGGCGCCCCATAAAGCTGACGGGTGTTATTCGCTAGAGGAGGCAGGCGTTAAGCCAGCCCTTCCCAATTGGTGCCCTTCAGATGCTTTGGACTGCAGCTCCCAGGAATTCTGAGCATTGCCCGGCACATCTGGAAGGCACTAGGCTTGGGAAGGCTGCTGTAAGGAGCAATCCTGTGCATGTTTAGGCGGCAGAGCCATCCTGTAGCGCCAGGCACGCCCCAGGCCACGTGGCTAGCTGGGGTACCCTGGGAGCTGCAAGACTGCTTTCCGCATGAACGTGGCCAGAACCGTGTCCTTGGCTGGTAATGCGAGGAAGCTGCCTTATCCCGGCCAGACCATCGCTCTGTCTGTCCCCACACTGTCAGCACTGACTGGCGGCAGCAGCTCTCCGGGACTGCTTACAGGCAGAGCTCTTTCTCAGCCCTACCTGGAGATGCCACTGGCTGAACCTGCCCTCTGGCATGCAAAGCGGGGGTTCCACCCCTGAGCCCGTGGGAACATGCCCTATTGGACGTCGTCGCTCTTGCTTCTGAGTAGGCATATAGGATTGCACTTTAAAGGGTTTGGCTGTGCTTCCTGAAATCTGGAGCTCAAAGCACATACTGTGCAGAATCACAATTACTCCTTCTGAAGTGCTGCATACCCAAAACGTTCTGGGCAGACTGTATCCAGAGAGAGGGAAGGGAACGAGGAGAGAATGTGTACTTAGCTCTTTTCCCTCTTGTAGCTTTTCTAGCGCAAAATCGCCTTCTCCAACCTACTGTTTTTTCTTTTTTCTTGCTTCATAGGGAAGGAGGAAGTGGAGTCAGTTACGCCCCTGCCCCCAGAAGGTTAGGGCGACTCTATTTTGCATGGATGCTTTGATGTGTCTCTTCTGTTAGTCTCCTGGAGAACCCCTGAGGTTCAGATGTAGAATGATAATGGGAATACTTAGAGGAATGCTGTGTGTACCTGCGTGTAAATCAACCTGTTCAAGGATCTGTCGACTGTCAGCTGTGGGTTCCCTGCTGCTCACCCCTGCTGGCTTGTACTTGAGGAACTGGAGGTGGCGTGACCTTTGCTGCCTTGAGCCACGGACACTGCTTTGCTGTGTGCTCTCTCCTGCCCCCAAGGCCATAGCCCCAGGCCTCTCTCCCTTGGCACCTCCTGGGTCTTTTGCCTTCCTCGTCCAAGCCTTCCTCTGAGGAGACCACCCATGTCCAGTCCAGAGTAACACGGCGTGCGTGGCTTAAGGCTGCTTAGTGCCCTCTGGATTCTGCCTGCAGGCCCTGCTGCTCTTCTTTCTATTTATAACACCGTCTCAGAAGAATGCTAAGCCAGTTAAACACATTAGGAGATAACCGCACATGTGGAGCTGGCTCGAGATGCCTCATTCTTGCACCGCCAGGCAAGGTGCATGCTAGCATCTGACCTTCCTGCCTATTGGATAAGCTGCTCCCTGGATCTGCCAGGCAGCAGTTGCCCCGTCTGGCACTCCTGGCCACCACTTTCCAAGGTTTCTTCATCCTTTTTCCGTGGTACATGCCCCAGATGTAATTTTGCCACCGCTTTTCTTTTCTCGAACGTCATTTTGTCTGAAGGAGACCACAGCTTCTGTAACCGGCTCGGCGCTGTCAGTCCTTTTCGCCAAACACTTCCCTCTGCTGTACCTCTGGGACAGAGTAGCGGAGCCTTTGCTCCTGGCTGTCTCTGGCAAGAAGGATTTGGGGGCTGCAAGAGCTGCTGTTGGCTGGGTCTGAAATGTCGGGCTAGATGGATCAGTAGCCTGGCCTAATGTAAGGTCACTTCACACGAAGACATGCTATTGCAAAGAAGGGCTTGCAGCTGGAGCGCTGGGCATGTTGTGGGCCCTGGGCTCTGTGGGGTGTGCAGTACAGCTGCGGGAGGGGCGCTCCCCAAATTCCAGATCATTCCCTCTGTGGGGAGGAGCCCCAGGCTCCGTGGCAGAGCACATGTTTTACACGTGCAGAAGATGCCCTGTGCAACCCTGGCTGCTCCAGTTAAAAGGGAATCAGGTGGTGGTTGATGTGAAACAGCTTTCCCTGCCTGGAAGGCTTGTGGCATCCCTCTAAGAGCGGGCTGGTCCCACTGACCAGGTGTCAGGGCTGCTTCTGCGCATTCCTGGTGGGGCTCTGCCTGAGAGAGCTCCATCCCTAGCCGAAGGGTATGCTGGGTGGAGTTCAGAAATACTGTTCTTTTTTTCTTTAACTGCCTTACAAACAGAAATTGGATGAACCTCCGGGATGCAGAAACAGGAAAAATTCTCTGGCAAGGCACAGAAGACCTTTCCGTCCCTGGAGTAGAGCATGAAGGTACCGTTGAGTCTTGATGTGTGACTGTAATGGGGGGGTGCGCATTAACACTTGCCAGAGGGAGGCTGTTGTTGATACAACACCCTCCGTGTGTGAGATATTTCATAAAAGTAATGGAAGCAATAAGCAAAAGATCGGGCCCTCCCCAAGGAACTCAGCTAATCCTTTGCAGAGGAGACAGTATGTGGGGGCGGGGGGGGAATAAGGACAATAAGGGTAGGGAATGCAGGGAAATGCATTATGTGCTTAAGCTCACTTCATGAATCAAAATATATGCCATATGCCAGTAAGATATTTCCAGTGTGATGGATGTCAGAAAGATAGAACACAATAAGTATTGAATAAAGCAGCCATCAAAGGAATAAAAGAGCCACATAAAATATTTCTTCCAGTTGCACGAACTGGGCAAATCAAAAGCTCTTTGTGAAGCCAGGGTGCTGCAGGGCCATCCGCCTTGGGGTTGCTTCAAGTGACAGGAAAGGCCCATTGAAGCATTATCTCAGAACATGGGCGAGATGGGTGGGTGTGGGTGCCCCTTGTGGCTTCTGGGGCTGCATTGGCTCGTGTCAGGGCTTGACCCACGGGCCTTGTGTGGAAGGTGTGTGGGTTTGCAGGGACGGAGCAAGTTGGTATTGTGCAGGCATTCTGGGTGGGACAGTGTGGAGCAAGGAGCTTGGGGCAGTTGGTGGTGCTTGAGTTGGAGGAAAGGAGGCCTTCCCAGCATATCGCACGCCCCACGTCTGTCCTGCCACAGTCAGAGGATTCCTTGGCGCATACAATGCCTTTAGATGCAGTTGGTCTGGGATTTGGCTGCACTGCTTGCTGGGCGACTGCTGAAGCCGCCAGGTGATGCAGCTCTGCTGAGCTTCCCAAAGGAGCAACAGGAAAGCGTGAGGCAGATCACAGAGTGTCTCGCAGCCAGAAAGCTCCGTCCCACCCTAAAGGCGTGGGCACGACTGAAGTGTGAAAAGTGGCAGCCCAAACTGGAAGGAGCTGGAGCTGCCTGGAGCCTTACAGGCTACCTGCTCTGTACAGGTACCTGTCTTACAACTGGGGTGGGCAAACTTTTTGCTCCAAGGATCTGATGTGGGAAGTGTGTGGCCAGGGCTGTGTGCCAGCGGGCAGAAGCTGGGCAGCGCCAAAGGTTCCCCTCCGCTCCCATTAGTTCTTCACGCGCACGTGCGTGCGCACACACTCATGGAACAGGCAACACCTGGCCACCCCCCCGTGAACTGAGTCCCACTGTCGTGCAGCGTGTGGAAGGCTCTCATGCACACTTCGTGCTCACCAGAGCTGGAGGTTGGTTAAGAAACCCTGTTGGACCCCTGTCTGCCTGAGCAAGGGGAGGCCGAATTGGCCGTGGGAGTTAAGTGCCCCGGCAGTGCGCCTCTGGTCCATGTGGGGCACCCGCTGCCCACCGCTGATGGGCAGCCCTGCAGTGCAGTAGCAGCCACGCTCTCGGGGGTCACTGGGCGGTGGGAAACAGACTCAGCAGCCCCACCCAGCCCCAGGGTGATGCAGCTGTGCTCGCACGTGGGGTATCCAGGCAGTGCTTGGGGCCAAAAAATGGTTCAGCCCTGCTCTAGGGAACCAAAAAGGAACCACTGCTCGTGGCCCTGGAGAGAGGAATGGCAAGCTTGGTTATTAAACTGCACGTGATCAATGACCTCTGCTGGAAAGGGAAGAGGCAGCTATTCCTGGTGCCCGTTCCAGGGCCAGGGTCACCGGCTCTTTGGATGGGGATGGGGAGGCCTGGGAAAGGAGGTCTGTGGGTGTACAGATGGCGGAGTGGGGAGAGCATATCTCCAGGTGTGTGGACAGACCCCGGGAACCAACAGGGTTTCGAAGAGCTGGGAGGGGGGCATGGGGAGGAGCAGGAAGAGGCTGGCCCGACCCCTGAGCCCGTGACGCGGCACTGGGAGAGGAGGGCTAGCCACCCAGAGGGGCGAGGAGGCTGGCCTGATGCAGCAGAGGCACACCAGAGCAGTGGGGCTTGGGCTTACTGGAAAGGAGGGTTCTTGAAATAGTGCCTGGATTGGGTTCATCAAACTGCTCTGTGCATGCTCAGAGGCTCTTCCTCTATTGGCTCTTGGTCCGCTGGCTGAATGTTGAAAAGGAAGTGCTTTTTGCCGAAAAACAAAACAAAAACCTGCCTGGAGTTTGAAAGGAAGAAGGAGGGAACCCAGCTCCCGACAACACATTTCATTGTAAATCGGTACTGAAGCTTTGTCAATATGTTTGCTTGTATTTAATTGCTCAACTAATTGATTGTTTAAAGGGCTGCAGATGCAGCAGCTAGAATTCTTCAGTTAACAGACAGCCCTGGCACAGCCTGAGAGGAAATCCTCTCTCACCCGCCACTGCTAAAAGGTCCTGCGTAGGAGGATGCGCTCTTGCGAGCGCCCGCTGAGGTGCCTGAGCTGCAGCCATTTCCGTGGGGGTGCAGGCGTGTGCCTGACGCCGGTGCCTGCATCCCAAGGCCTTCCTCAGGAAGAGCGCAGGAGCCGTGGTGCTGCCCCGGGATGGGTGCCTGGCCTCCGTCTGGTTCGGGCCCCGAGGGAAACAGCTCTCTCTCGCCCCCTGTCCCTCTGTCAAGGGGGCAGGAGCTGTGTGCATGGACTTGGCTGCTCTTCTCCTGGCAGCCACCGTTTGAGGGAGGTTCGGCTTCAGAATACAGGAGGGAGCCCAGAGCCAGCAGTGAATCTCCGTCTCCAGCCCAAGCCAAAGGCTCTGCACCCAGCCCAGGAGCCTCTGGGGGCTGCGCAGGCCCGGGGCCTTGGAGGAGGAATCCCCCGCGTGGCACTCTCTGCTCAGAGGGAGCAGTGCGGCTGGCGGCAGCCGAGGCCCTTTCCCTCAGGGGCACACCGTGCCTCTCCCAGCTTGCGGGAAGGCGAAACGGGCAGGGGCCCTCGCTGCCCGTGGGCATGGCTGCGTCCACAAATACCGTCCGTGGGGCAGTCATTCCTTCTTATTGTGTACACTGCCCCACTGCTGATGCTCTCTGGGTGGCTTACAGTCCACAGAACAGTTAGCAAAATACAAATATTTGCACAATACGGATATCAAAATGCAAACAGATATTAAAATACAATAAATATATACAATAAAATTGCAGTAAAAGTTTAACAATTTAAAACAGTTAAAACTAAGCATACCCAAGAGACCGGGATGGCGATCGCCTCAAGCCGCTGGAGACCCCATAATGTCTTTAAAAGGCTCAGCAGAGAGGGCCCTTTTCACCTGGTGCCAAAAAGATGACAGCTCAGCACCAGTGGGGGGGCACTACAGAGAAAGCCCTTCCCCCTGGCTGCCGCCTCCACGCTTCCCTTGGAGTTGGCGCTTGGAGGAAGGCCCAGCGTTGGCCTGTATCGTCCAAGTAGATTGCCGCTGGGAGAGGTGCTCTGACAGATACTGCCGTCCTAAGCCGTGCGAGGTCAAAACCAGCACCTTGAATTGGACCAGAAGCTCACAGGCAGCCAGTCGGGTGGGCCCTGCCCGTCTTGCGAGTTCGGGCCCCGGGTCCTGGCTGTTAATCTGGCTGCCGCATTCTCCCCAACTGCAGCTCCTCCGTCTTCTTCAAGGGATCCTCGCGCAGAGCGCATCACGGGAACTAAGCCCGTGCCCCTTTTGTGGGCTTGTAAGGCAAGGATGGCGGAAGGCACATTCTCAAGCTACGGGCCTTTGCCTTCAGGGGGAGCGCAGCCCCATCCCGGACAGTTTGGACGCCCCCAGCAGCATCTCAGTCCTGTCCGGATTGAGCGTCAGTATCCAGTCCGTTGCCACAGCCGGGCGCGGCCTAGCACATGCGCGGCCTTGCCTGCAGCGGACGAAAAGCAGCAGTGGCACCCAAACCTGCAGATGGACCCACTCAGTGGTTTCATGGAGATGTGGAATAGACCGGGGGCAGAACAGACCCCACGGAACTCCGTGCTGGAGAACCCATGGGGCGGACGGAGGGGCCTGCCCCGGAACTCCCCTCGCCTCGGAGGGCTGCCTGGCATCTCGGCCATATGCACGGAGGCTCCGGGGAACGGCCTTCCTCTCAGCTGCTTTCCAGTTTTTGCCACTGGTTCCTCGTTGTTTTCGACATTTTGTTCAGTAGCATAGTTAGGCATGCTGGATGGTTTTATTTATTTTTGGCTGTGTCCTCGCTGCTGCTGAGGTTGCGATTGTGAGCACACCTGAGGGCATTTGTCAGTTGGGCATTATGCAGTCTAATAAAAATGGATTATTTTTGCCGCCTCCCCCCCGCAGCAAGTTGCACACCCAGAAATGTTACACAGGGCAGCAATTTTGCCTTCTGTTTACAGAGTTGTCTGCGCTCTTGCCGTGTCAGTTTAGTGCAGGCTTGTCCTAGTGGGCCCTGGAGAATCCCGGGGCTTCAGAAAGGGGGAAGAGGGTCGGCCGTCCAAGGCAAAGGGATTGCCCTCTCCCTGGCCCTGCTTGTCCCCATCTCTCACGCAGCTGCAGCAGCCCCTTGTGCCCCGAGAAGAGTATTTGTGGGCATGCCTGGAAATGCAAAGCCAGATGGAGGCTATTCTCTGACAAGCCATTAATCTGGCTTTTTGCTTTTTTCTAGATCCACTTAGCCTTCAGATCCCTTGGCTTTTATTTTTTATATCTAGCGCTTTGTGTGGAAAACCTGCTTAGTAGCTTACAAGAGTCCGATGCTTTCCGAATTGTGCCTCCGTTAAAAAGCAAAAAATCTTTCCAACCGATGGAGTGGATCCAACAATACGAGGGCTCAGTGACATATTTGTCCATACAGGTGGGCGAAGGCTTGCCTATCGAGCAACCCCGCTGCTCTTACTTTCTGAAACTGTGGGAGCTCGGCCCCTTTCTCAACTCTAGTCTGACAGCCAGATTTCCCCACTCAGGGCCAGCCCCTCCGCTAGGCAGAGTGTGCCAGCTGTCCCGCGGGGCAGCAGCCAGCCATGGGATGGGGCAGGGTTCTCTGCCCCAGGAGGCCTGCCTGGCACTCCCTGCCCCACGTGCTTCCCGTTCCCAGAGCTGAAGCAAGGTCATGGCACCACAGAAGAGTAGAGCTGGAAGGGGCCATGAAGGCCATCAGGCTGTTGCAGGACGCCAGTTCACACCATCCCACCCAGAGGGCTGTCCTGTTCCTTTCTGAATGTCTCCGGTGTGGGAGAGCCCCCCACCTCTCCAGGCACCCGGTTCCACTCTTGTGTCGCTCTGACAGTGAGGAAGCTTTTCCTGGCATCCAGCCTGAATCTGGGTTGTCACAACTTGAATTGATTATTCCGTGTCCTGCACTCTGGTATTACCAAGAGGAGATCTTGACCTTCCGTTTTGTGACAGCCTTTGAGGGACTTCTAGAGGGGTATCATCCCCCGCCCCCCCAGCCTTCTCCCCTCAAGGCTGAACATGCCCAGTTCTCTCAGCCTCTCCTCGCAGGGCAGTGTTTCCAAATCCTGGATCATTCTTGTTGCCCTCCGCTGGACCCTTTCTAATTTACCTGCGTCTTCCTTAAATCTTGGTGCCCGGAACTGGACACGGGACTCCAGACAAATATGGGAGAACTCTGCAGCTGCCAGTTCTGTCACTCCTGTAGGCAGAATGGAGGGGTGGGTGCTCTTTTGTCCTTAGGCTGACCCCGTTCCCTCTTGTCTCTCGGCAAATTCCTGGCTGGCATGATGCCCACTGAAAAGCCTGCATTAAGGCACGGCACGCCTCGGCTCGCCATGTGTGCAGAACAGAGAGCCTCGATTGGATGCAGTCAAGAAGCGGTTCCCAGCCTTCTCACGGAAGAGCCCCTGTGCTGAGTTTCCAAAGCGCACTCATGCCATGCCCTGAGAGCCCCTGCCTTTCCCCCACGAACTGCTCCCGGCGGCGCCCGCACTGCTGTTTGCAGCGCCTCTTTCACAGGGCAGGGGGAATGTGCCCTCCAGCCCAGCAGCCCTGCTGTCGCCGCTTAGGATGATGGGTTAACTTTTTTTCCCCTGCCAGCTCGCGTTCCAAAGAAAATCTTGAAATGCAAGGCCGTATCTCGGGAGCTCAACTTTTCCTCAACCGAGCAAATGGAGAAATTCCGTCTGGAACAGAAAGTGTATTTCAAAGGACAGTGTCTAGAAGGTACTGCTCAGCTCTGGGAGTGGAGGGGTTTAGCGACAATGGAAGGGATGAAGCTGGGTCTCTGACAGATGAAGCTGCTCTTGGTGCAGCTTCATAGGCGGAGTGTCCACCTTTTCCCCCCATGTGAGGGTGGGCAACTCTGGGCCCTTCGGACAGTGTGCTCCCATCAGCCCTGGCTAGCATAGTCAATGGTAGAGGCTCCTGGGAGCTGTAGGCCAAAGCGCTTGGGGGGCCTCCACTTACTTGCCCAGCCCTGCTCTGCTCTGCAGGAGCACGCGGGAATAAGCATCCTACAGGTGGCTCCTGTCACCAGATGGCTGCACAGATGGGCAGGACATGGCCACCTCGATCGACGCCCAGGCATTTCGGAGGGTCGCCAAAAGGCCCGCTGCCCTGCGCAGCCTGCCCGTCTCTGTGCCAGCGGTGGAGGACCAGCACTCGGAAGCCCTGGCAGGAGCCGTCCCCAGCGGCCTGCCGGACCGTGTCTCCCCCCACCCTCGCCTCCTCTCGCCTCGCCTCCCTTCCCTGCGGCCACAGCGGCGACCGGGCCTGGTTCTGTCCTGCCGCGAGGCTTTGTGCTGCAGAAGGCCCTTGCCCGCTGCACGGGAGCGGTGGCCACCGGCCACCCAAGGCTGTGAACCCTCCCCGTAAGGAGTGCCAGGTTGGCCTGCTTGCCCACAGGAGTGGCACAAAGAGCAGAGGGTGGGGGAAACGCCGCGCGTCCTTACAATTTTCGCTGCTTGCGGGAGAAGTGGTCACTAGCAGCCGTGGTGGAGGGAGGGCTGCCCCGTCGTAGGCTCCAAGCGCTGCCTCTCCAGCTAAATGGATGCTTGGAGCAGGCCTGGGCACCTCCTGCCCCTGCCGTCCCGCAGGGAACGCGGCTTCCCACTGTGACGCCGCTCTCAACTAAGCCGGGGCGTTCTGAACGCTGCCTGCCTCCCTCCCTCCCTTCTTCCTCTCTCTGCAGAATGGTTCTTCGAGTTTGGCTTCGTCATCCCCAACTCCACGAACACCTGGCAGTCCTTGATAGAGGCAGCTCCAGAGTCACAGATGATGCCCGCAAATGTTCTCACGTGAGTTGCTGCACGGGAACCTTCTCAGAAAGCACAGGCCAGGAGCTGCCTGGAAAATGGACTGGCGGGAGAGGCTCACATCTAAAGTTGACCCAGTCTGCACAAAAGGGCCACAAAAACTATGCGTAAATTAATTCCTGGTGTGCCAGATTGTATGCCATCTGCATTTTGCACGTGCAGCTTCCAGTCAGCCAGATTGGAGGTTATTCTGTGATGTGCAAACCTGGATAGTATGGGTTAATTGTGGGTTAAACAACCCATGATTTGTGTTTAAGGTAATTGTGGGTTATTTAACCCATGATTCATCTATAGGCTTGCACATCATGGACTAACCTCTGACCAGGCCAGCTGGAATGTGCATACTAAATATGGAAGCAGTGCGCAGCCGGATAGTATGTGGGTTATCTAACCCATGATTTTCTGCCATTGTATGCAAGGATGGCTTTTGTCAGCTTCAAAGCTGCGTCTTTTCTGGGGTCAGAATTCCACTCCAAACTGGGTTCTGCACCCTGAGCTGACTGGGCAATTTCCACGTCCTCCTTAGTTGACAGAATCCTGTTTCTGCTAATTATGGGAAGGAGGGAGAGCCCTTCAGACCCCTGGAGCAGCCCGTCTGCCTGCTGCAGTTCTCACATCGATACATTGCTTACACACCTATGTGGTGTGCAAGAGCATTGTTCCCATGCTCCCAAGAATGTTCTTTTTGGCTGTATGGCCGAACCTGGTCCCACACCCAGTGCTTGGTCGATGAGGGGAGGCCGTGGATTGTACTCCAGCAACCCCCGAGGGCCCCAGGTTGGGGAAGGCTGGCTTAGCACTGGTCGTGTGAACAATGGCCCATGACCCTGATATGGCGCACTTCGTGCCTGTTGTCTCGGCAGTCCTCCTCACACTGTTCTGCCACAGTAGGCAAGAGAGGAGGGGCTGGGGGGGGCCCTCCTGTGAGTTCATCACCCTCAGGCAACACCCAGGCCAGAACCGGTGCCGTCGTGGTGCCGTCCCCACTTGAGGCTGCCCAGGGACGTGCGGGAGCCGAGTCCTGCGCTCGGTCCTGGTGCCACTGCACCTGGTTCAGCCCTTGCTCAGTGGAGCTGACGGAGTGCGGAGGAGTGTGGTCAGCTCTGGCCCTGGCCTGTCCAACTGGCAGCCGTGGTCTTGGCAGCAGCACCTTCTGGAGGAAGCGGAGTCAGCGCAGGAGCGGAAGTCCACGGTGGCTGGGCTGCTCCTGAGGCGCCAGGGACAGGCCCGCCGGCCTCGGAAGGGCGAACGGGGCAAGGGAGGCTGCTTTATCGGAGGGGCACGAGCGAGGCCCCCCTTGCGCCAGCCATCGTTCGCAGCACGGCCACGTGCTGCTTCTGTGTGTGAGTGGGGGGGGGGAACTAGACACCCCCATTTGCCACAGAGCCGGAGCTGGTCAAAGAAGGCCCTCCTGGGCTAGGAAGAAGGCCCGATCCTGTGCTCAGGGGTGGGCGCCTCCTTCTGAAGCTCAGCGTGGGCTTGCCGGCCCCAGGCGCACCACTGAGGGCACCGCCACCCCGTGGCCCGCGGGAAGGGGCAGTGGCGAGTGAATGCGCCGTGCGAGGGCCATCCCTCTGTTCCTCACCCGCCACCTCCTTTTCTTCCTCTCCTGCAGTGGCAACGTTATCATAGAAACCAAGTTTTACGACGACGACCTCCTCGTAAGCACTTCCAGAGTGAGACTGTTCTACGTTTGAGAGACGGCCAGGCTGGGGCTCGGGCCTGGTGTAGCTACCCCTGCCCTCACCCGGCTCCTGGCGCCGACTCCCCCCCTGCCCCAGAAAGTGTCACGGGGAAGACCCGCTCCTTCTCTGCCCTCCCTTCAGGCAGCAACCAGCACAGCCGGGTGGCAGCTTCCTCTGCCCGTCCCTCCCCCTCCGCTTTGCTCTTCGCTGGATGAGGCCGGGCTGCCAGGCCGGCGGCCGTCCGCTCAGACGCAGGGCTGGGGAGGGAAACGGACTCTGTTAGAGACCCAAACCGGTGAGCAAACGGGCATGGAGGATCGAGACTGTAAATTATGTTTAGGATTTTTAACAATCCTTTGTACATCTCTGTATCTTAGTACCAGACCTTCCCTTCTCGGCAGGCGATGCGTCAACTCAGTTTTTCCTCATTATTTGTTTTGTTTTGCTGTTTTTAAGTTAATTCTCTCAGCCGTCTCCCTGTCCCTTCCTGTCTTTTTTTTTTAAACATTAACTCCATCTCTTAGTTCTACGAAACTGGTCCAGAGATCCCCCCCCTCATTCCCTTTGCTCCTTAAACTTGTAAAATAGACTGTGATTATTACATAATGTAATTAAAATAAATTTCTGAATTAAAAAGCAAACATTCCTATCATTCTGTGGCCAGATGAGTTTTGTTAATCCCTGGGGCCCCCACCTCGTTTCGAGCGTTTCTGGCCTGAAGACTTCCCAGTGAGCGCCACGATGGTGACGCGCGAGCTGCAAATGTGTGAGAGGCACGACTCACACGGGAAGCGTGGGCAGGATCCCCCGCATGGCGGAGTGAAGCTGAAGCCCCTTCAGAGGCTGCCGTCACCCACAGGCCGGCCCCAGCCCCCACGAGAGCTTCCCAGCTGCCAGGTGCTTCCGCCGCACAGCGGGTGTCCTTCCCAGCAAACTTCGCTGCGGATAGTCTGGGAAAGTGGCTGGCTGGGGATTGTGGGAACTGCCGCCGGACAGGGCAGGGCAGGAGGGCCGCCAGGTTGGAGACAGCAGCTTTTGCCGGACCCTTCATGACCCTTCCAGGGGACCTGCTGGGACGGGAGAGGCAGGCGGAGAGGTGCCTCCTGCGCCCTTCAGCCCCTGCCTGTCCACCTTCTGTGCCATGGGAGGCATTAGTGCTGCCGGCAGCCCCAGCCCAGCGCCTTTGGCAGGGTGTTGGCAAGGGAGGCTCGGGGGGGGGGGGCGCTGCTCCGAGGGCGTCAGAAGGGGCTGTGCGGCTGGCCGGCTCAGTTTCAGCGCTCCATCTGTGGGTCAGCAGCGAGCCATTTGCCGCCTTCCCAGAGGACAGTGGGTTCCAGCTCCCATCAGGCCCGGCTGGTGGCCAGGGAAACATGGCCTGCGGGAGGCCCACACGATGCTGCAAACGGGCGGTGTGCGTAGCAGGAGGGGAAGCACACTGCACAAGCACGCTCCCCAGCGTGTGCCCGAGACCGTGCCTGGCGCACCCCCTCGTCAAGCGCATGTGCCGCGGCTGGCCCTTCCCCCGGCCTTGCGCACGAGCCCGAGCCCAGCGGGCAGAGTGCTGCATGCTCACCGTCCGGAGCCTTGTGCTCCAGGCACGGCCCTCGCCCCCTGCGGCTGCCTGTGCCGTCTCGTGCTTCCGCTGGTCCGTGCCTCTCTCTGGAAAGAGGACGTCTGCCCACCAGGTGCTCGCTGCCCGTCGCTGGCCTGGCAGTTCCTGCTGCGCTGGAGCGGGGAGGCCGTTCCTCAGCCGCCCCGCAATCCACAGGGTCCAGGCGAGACGGAGACCCTTTGTGGGAGGAGGCATGAAGCTGAAGGCCCCTACGCCTGGCGTGCCTGGAGCAGCCCTCCCCAGCCTGCCTTTCAGAGGGGTGCACTGCTGATTCCCATCATCCCCAGCTTCCAGGGGTGAGTGAAAATGCAGGCATCCCACAAGTGGGGCTGGGCAGCTGTCCCAGAGCTGATGCACCCTTAAACGCAGGTCTCCTGGCTGAAAGGGCAATCCAGGCGTATTGAGGAGCGGCCCAGGAAAGACACGGAGGAGCGGAGGAGCGCTGCTCGGAACAGGGTGCCGTGCCTTCCCTTTGGCAGGTCGCTTTCCTTGGTAAAAGCTGACAGTTCCCAGCTTCTTGGTCAAGGAGCTCGCCTGCTTTAAACTGGATTCATGCGCAGAGCAGGGGGCTGAACGTCACAGTGTCACTGGCCCTTCCAATCTGTGGTTCTGTGAATTCATTCTCACCTGTCCAGCCCCCCCGCCCCCCCGGCCCGTTTCATGTGCGCCTTCTGAGTGGAGGAATCCTTTCGACCTGAGGCAGTGGGAGTTTCACCTTCTCTGGCCAAAAATTTGGAAGTCCTTTCTCAGTGTGGTGCCCTGCAAATGCTTTGGACTACAATTCCCAGCACAACATAGACCATGCTCCTGGGGCATCATCTGGAAAAGCTCCGCCAGCCTCTCCCACTCCCCAAGCCATTCTCAGAAATGGGGCAAAACTCTGCAAATTGCGGGGGGCCGGAGGGGCTGCCCCAGGAGGGCGTCCTGCTCCGTCGGGGCCACCCTGCCGAAGCACCTCGTCTGGCAGCGAGAAGCCAAGGCAGGCGCTCGAACAAGACAGGGCTGCACAGGGTGGGGGATCACACAGCTGTCTGGGTGCAGGTGCTCGAGTGTTGGAACTGGGACTCGGGAAATCGGGGTTTTGTCCCCACTCGGCCGTGACACTCGCTGGCCAGCCATGGACTCTCAGCCTATCTTAACCAGGTTGTTGTGAACGATAAAACGGAAAAGAGGAGACCCTTGCAAGCTGCAAGAGGAGGAAAAGAAGGCATAATTGCAGTGTCATAAGGCCAGAATGACAGGATCAGAGCAGCAGAGTTGGAAGGGGCCTACAAGGTCATTGGTCTCACCCCTTCTCAGTACAGGACTCCAAGTTAAAGCATCGCGGAGAGCCGGCTGCCCAGCGGCCTCTTGGATGCCTCCAGTGTGGGAGAGCCCAGCACCTCCCTGGGGCCGTGGGTTCCACTGCCGCACTGCTCAAACAGTCAGGAAACTCCTGAAGCCCAGGCGGAACTGGGCTTCCTGGAACGTGTGCCCGTGTCTTGCACGCTGGGACGACAGCGAAGAGAAGCCTGGAGAACCGCGACAGCAACCACAGGTGGTGCGGCTGGACAGGGCTTGGAGTCGTGCCCCCGTTACGCAGTGCTCTCTTCTCCAGCTTGAAGCCTTCCAGGTCGGTTGGCCCCCTGAGGAGCTGCTGGGAGTTGACATCTGCATTACTGGAGGCCTTCCGGCAACCTGCATTCTTCAAAGGGCCTCCACTAAATAATGGGCAGCTGGTGGCGGCAGCTTCAGAGCACTGGCTGTGCGATCGACAGCCCTGGCTCCGGCTCGTCCCACAGCAGCAAGGAGCACGGTGGCTTCCTGGCAGGGCACTCTGACTCTCCTGTGCATTTGGTTCCCATGGAAACTGCCTCCCCGGGACCGGCATCCTCCGAAGGCTGCATTTTCCCAGGGGTTGCCATGGCGCTGCCATCAAAACAGCCCCATATGGCACTGGAGTGGCGGCAGCTGTCTGTGGGCCCAGGTCACTAGTTGAGCTGCAGAAGGGAGATCCCGACGGAGCGTGGGAGAAAAGGAGTGTCGCCCTCCTTGTGAAACTCCCCATGGTTTCTGGCTGACCCCAGCTGGAAGCACAGCTCTGGGCCAAATGGGCCAGTCAGCAGAAGCAAGAGAGAGATGCTATACCTGCATGCCGAGTGACATTTCCTGCGTTGGAAGGTAGAATTTCGTCATTCCACCCACCTTCCCCAGCCCTGTACCCTCCCGCTGAAGCCCCAACCATCTGTGGGGACCGGCTTGGTCCACCGAGCCCAGCGTTGTGGCTCTGCCTGGCAGCAGCAGCAGCTTACCAGGGTTCCCGGCAGAGTTTTTCTGACTTTACCTAGAGATGCCAAGGACTAAACCCAGAATCAGCTGCATGCTTTCCAGGGCTGGTAGCGAGGCCTAGCATGGTGGGGCACCTGCACGGCAGTTTCAGCCCCCGAACAAGAGGTGCCCAGACCTGCGCCTTCTCAGCGTCACAGCCGGCTGGCTCGCTCGCTCGCTCGCTTCTCCTGCTGGCCTGGCAGCAGTGGGGTGAGGAGGAGAAGCATCAGGTGCGCTTACCTGCTTGCTCGCTGGCTCTCTGTCTGTTGAGCCAGCAAGTGGCAGCAGTGATGAAGAGGAGGAGGAAGAGCAGCCGGGACCATGGCAGCAAGAAGTCGGCTCACTGAGAGAGGGACCCAGGGAAGTCGCTTGCCCAAGGCCTCCCGAAACCCGCAGCCGTCACTGCGGGGCGTGCTCTGCCTGAGCCGGCACACCACTGCCGGGGGCACACCAGGTCGGGAGGGCTGGTCCTCCTCTGCTTCGGCCTCGGGGCTGCTGCTCCTTGGCAGCGTGCTCCGGAAGTGCTGCCTGGCCAAAAACAGTTTCGGAAATGTCAGCCTTAGGAAGGCACCCTCTGTGCACCACATGACCTGGAACGGCGTCTCTGGAGAGGGCCCAGCGGTTTCATTCGCAGCAGAGGGACGTCCAGCCTCTGCTCGAGGGTCTTGAGCGCAGGATGACCACTCCCCCTCTATTGGTCCCGATGTCAAACTGCAAACCCCCCCCCCATTTATCTCCCACCTTTTCTCCTCTTGCAAGGAACTCAAAGCTGCTTGCAGGGCCTCCAGGAGGTTCTTGGCAAGGAGATTCTAATGTCCAAGCAAATCCCCCTCCTCTACCTTACTTCAATAATATTATTATAATATTTATTTATATTCCACCTGTTCCTGGAGATCGGGACTCCAGGCAGCTCAACTTAAAGCGTGTAGACAGACGCAGACACTGAGAGGTGAGAGGAGCAGTGCCCCCAAAACATGGAGGGGCACACGGGTCCTAGATCTGCTCGAGAGTTGCAGCGTGGAAGAGCTGCCCTCCCAGGACTCGAACGCAGAGCCCGAGCTGCACCCGGCTGCTTTCGTGCAATCTGAGGCGGCGCCTGTTCGTTTGTCAGCAACGGGCAGCAGGGCCCACGCTTTGCCCTGCTGCTCCTTCTAATGTCTGAACAAGGGTAGCTACTCGGACCTCCCTGGACTGCTGGTTGCCCATCACTCTTGTGCTGAAAATGCAAAGTTAGGATAGCTGGAATATCAGGGCCTGCAGGGAAATTCTGCTCAGACTTCTGCAGGGGATGGCACAGGAAGGGCGGAAGACGGCACCGGCACGGCCCCTCAAGCAGTGGAGCGAGGCTGGGAGACACGACTCTCCCGGGTGAAGTGGAAGCCACAAGCATCCCCAGAGCAGCCACTGACCCATGGCCAAGTCCAAGAGGGAGCAGCTTTCACCAACCAGGAGTCCTCCGGATGTGTTGCACTCCAATTCCCATACTCTCCTAGCTGGCTGGCACCAGACCGGGGAAAGCTGGACTGGCCCAACTGTGGCAGGGCTTTTGGAGCATCCTTGAACCATGTATTTGAGCCACCCTGGAAAGATTCAGTGTCACCTGATTGTTTAGCGGCAAATTAGACGCGCCACTGAGCATACAGCCGGTCCTGTGGGTGCTTAGCTGGTTTATGGCTTGCAGTTCCAGGACATGATGCACCCTCTGCATCAGGACTGCAAGAGCTAGAAGGTTT